AACTGATACAAGTAAAAGTGCAAAGTAAAGAGGTTTTCTTTAAAATGTGAAAATGTTCCGACAGGCGACATGCTATGATAGTGGTCGTGTTACGTATCATTAAAGACAAGACCTCAGTCGTAACTTACTGAACTACGCGCATGGATGCAAGAAGTCATGTTTCTCTTGGCCTTAAAATTTAACGATTTTCTTCGTTTACCATTGCGTAACTTGCCAATGTTTGACAATGTTTGATAGAACAATTAGAGTTGTTTGATTTGCCTTCCACAGGTGAGTGAAATTTTTCCTGAAGAGAGGAAATGGAGAACTGGACTTCGAAGGAGGAGACATCGACAATGCAGTGCTACACGCTAGTTTACTATGAGGCTGATTATCCCGACTTAATGCGCAATGACCAGTGGACACGCGTAGGCTGTAATGAGACATCGGAAGTGAACTCAACTGTGCCCTACGCAGGTGAATGCAAACCAGCTATCACGGATGCAGCTTATTCAGCACAGTCCGATTATTTTGCCTGTGACGGCTCCTAATATTGCAAATATATTTTGCATTTGTTGTTTCCGTATAGTTGGTCTGTGTATTTGCAAACCGGCAGGTTCATTCCAAGTCTTCTGTATGACTGTTTTACACCGCTCTCTGTGATGGAGTTTGATGGACACAGAGCATTCACTAAAAGTTGCTTCTCAGCGCTCCTCTGGTGTTCCACGTTCTTCCTATGCTTTGGTGGCACTGTATGATTTGCTTTTCTAGTTTTCGCATAGAAGCATTATCTAGCATTTACTGATGGTAACTTCATTCCTACTTCACTTCAATGCTTTTACCATTTATTGTTTACATTTGCACTGCATAATAGATGCCGAGCATTTTAATACAACAGAAAACAGACTTTAAAGCGGAACTAGGCACCGAAAATGCCAGACAATGGTATCTTCATAAATAAAATGATAACACTTGCATTTGTAGATAAAAGAAATGAGTAATGAATGCGATTCGCAGAGGTAAGTGGATGCCGACATCCAGATCACTGAGCCATTGTGCATGTGGAATTTTTCAAAAACCTGATTATGGTCATGGGTTGATTGCAATCTGCATGCATGACAAGTGCAACTGTGCGGCAACCCCTATGTTTAAGTGCGTCTATCATTCATCTTGCAGTGATGCAGTACAGTCAGCTTTGCAATGAAGAAACCCGAATGTGGTGTGGAACTATTGCAGCATCCTGCTGCAAAGTATAGCTGTCCATTTGTACGGGGAGCATGCTAACCAATGCCAATTACTTTATCGCGCATTTACTGTGTATTGTCATCTAGTATTTTGTTAGGAAAATGGGCACAATCCTTTAAAGTCGCGAACAATCATGTGGATTACTTTACTAAAACAAGCTTCGTAATTAAGTCACATATGATTTTCAGACCATTATGCAAGTAAATGATATTATGTTAGGTCAAGCGTACACAAATCATGTTACTTAGGTACAACTTAAAATTATTTTACGGCGACTTCTGGGATGTGATTTTTCGATTTGTTAGTTTATCTCCATTCTTACTGCTTCAAATGCGATTGCAAGTCAGGCTCGTGCCCAGATATGGTATTCTACTCTGAATGCGTGTCAGGATGTACTTTATGAAAACAAAGAAGGAAGACGGACAAGCTGGCAAGGAGGGAGAAGACGGAAATACAGCGCGAATGTTTGTCACAAACGGTGCACAAATTCATTTGACATGAATTTACATTTCTACCTCTTTATGAAAATAAGTACTATTAAGTAAATGAAAACGATGTCCTGTCATTAAGTGATGAGCATAAATGGAAGCAAACATTACCATAGGCTGTGACAACTTACAAAATTGCATGCTTCTCACATG